TGCCTCTGTTTTAAAAACTGAGCTCTGGCACTGCTGCAAATCCCTGCTTCCCTCTGCGAAGGGGCTATCTATTTAATTTTATGTTGAGTCATTACCTTCTCAAATAAGCGCTAGATTCTGAGAGCACTGTTGTCATCTTCATGCATTGTGTATAGTTAATGTTGGATGCATCATGACTGGATCTTGTCTACCATGAATTACAATGTTTAGTCACTGCTTGAACCTTGGAGGTGCTCTGCATTTATATTTTGCGGTCCCAAAACGGACTAGCGAGATACCACTATTGTCATATTATATCATGATTGTTTTGACAATGTGTTGTCATTTGAGATATTTTATTATTGCTTGCTAGTTGATTATGTAATTGATATGAGTTAATATAATTTTTAAGAGTTATTATTGACATGGTTAGTTATAATCTTCGCTAAAAACATGGGCGCTACTTAAGCTTATTTATGTAAACAAGAGCAAAAGAGTTCGTAAAAGTTTTTCTTTTCCACTTTCAGTTTATCAACTGAATTGCTTGAGGACAAGCAAATGTTTAAGCTTGGAGGAGTTGATACGTCTCCGTCGTATCTACTTTTCCTAATGCTTTTCCTCTTGTTTTGGACTCTAGTTTGCATGATTTGAATGAAACTAACCTGGACTGACGTTGTTTTCAGTACAACTACCATGGTGTTGTTTTTGTGTAGAAATAGAAGTTCTCGGATTGGAACGAAAATTTTTGGAGAATTTTTATACAATAAAAGAAAAATATTGGAGCCAAGAACCACCGAAGGGGGCCCCTGGGTGAGCACAACCCACCAGGGCGCCCCCCCCCCCCTCAGGCGCGTCCAGGTGGGTTCTGCCCACCTGGTGGCCCCGTAGACCCTGAGTCCAACTCCATAAATACCTATTTTTCCAGAAAAAAATCAAGGAGGAAGAATTATCTCGTTTCGCGATACGGAGCCACCGCCACCTCCTATTCTTCATCAGGAGCCAGATCTGGAGTCCGTTTTGGACTCCGGAGAGGGGGATCTTCCATCTTCATCATCACCAACCCTCCTTCATCGCCAATTCCATGATGCTTCCCATCGGGAGTGAGTAATTTCTTCGTAGGCTCGTTGGTCGGTGAGGAGTTGGATGAGATTCATCATGTAATCGAGTTAGTTTTGTTAGGACTTGTTCCCTGGTATCCACTATGTTTTGAGATTGATGTTGATATGACTTTTCCATGCTTAATGCTTGTCACTTTGGACCCGGATGCCATGATTTCAGATCTGAACCGTTTATTTTATCACCATTATATCTATGTTCTAGATCCGATTTTGCAAGTTATATTCACTTGTTACGTGTTATGATCTGTAAACCCCGAAGTGACAGTATTCGGGATACTTTCCGATGATGACCGTAGTTCGAGGAGTTCATGTATTCATGATGTGTTAATGTTTTGTTCCGGTTCTCTATTAAAAAGATGTATTTATATCCCTTAGTTTTCATATGGACCCCGCTGACATGGGAGGGTAGGACAAAATATGTCATGCAAGTTCTTTCCATAAGCATGTATGACATTTAAGGAATACATGTCTACATTATATTTATGAACTGGAGCTAGTTTTCTATCGCCCTAGGTTATGACTGTAATATGATGAATATCATCCAACGAATCCATCGATCCAATACCTACGAATTTCTCTTATATTGTTCTTGCTAAGTTACTACTGCTATTGTTACTGTTACACTTGCTACAAATCATTGCTATCACTGTTACCGTTACTATTGTTGTTGCTACTACTATCAAAATCATCATATTACTTTGCTACTAATCACTTTGCCGCAGATAATTAATCTTCAGGTGTGGTTGAATTAACAACTCAGTTGCTAATACTTGCAAATATTCTTTGGCTCATCTTCTGTCGAATCAATAAATTTGGGTTGAATACTCTATCCTCAAAAACTGCTGCGATCCCCTATACTTGTGGGTTATCAGGGCTACTAATGGCGTCCTACACCAGAGGTATCGTGAGCCACCAGAAGTCGGCCCAAGTAGACTTGGCATGGACCCGTGCAGCTACCTAGCCCCGGTCGTCCGACCTGAGGCCTTCAATGTAAAGATGCCTCCTTACTTGTTGTACAATATGTATACCTTACTTGGGTTTCAAGCTATGTAAACTGACTTGGACTCTTGTAACCCTACCCCCGCCAACTTACAAGGGGAGGTAGGGACCACCCAAGTTAGCACCTCATAACCATAGGATCCTAGAGTTCCGACCTTTCATTCAAGAAAATTCCAATATTAATAAAGATCAAACATGCAACATGTAGGGCACATTACCTGAATATGGAAAATCGTCTGTTTCTTGTGCACCCAATTTGATTCTCCATGCGTGTTTGACGCGCTCTCTTTCTCATGCACCCAATATGATCCTCCATGCATGTTTGACATGCTCTCTTTCTCGTCCGGCCTACTCGCCTGGTCAGGATACCCTATCAAAGGATTTGTTGGAATCTTCTCTCGAAAGGTGGTACCATGGTTTGCCGATTATGCTGACTTTGTCTACCTTCAAACAAGAATTATAATCAGAGGAAGAAATTCTTTAGGGATTTTTGGAAAGACCAATTCCTCTAAAAGCATGGGTCGGACGGCATGATTAGACGTGTCCCTTAATATGTGAAAGATGCCATCTTACAAGCTCGCCGGAGAATTCCTTGCGTATGGCGTCAAACACTTCAATCCGGTTTCTACTGGCCTGCATCTTTTTAAAGTGTATGCTTGCCGTAGTAGTCCTTATGTAGGGCATCAAACAGGTGACGGCACCACCATAATAGAAGTACTTAAATCAGGTTTCTGTTGGCCACACTTTACGATTTTGGTTTTAGGCAAAATTACGATTTTAGTGTTAATAAAAATAGGATTAGCAAGATCTAGTCAAGTTTATCACAGGACATTAGTATATCAATAATATCATGTTTGTCAATGGATCACCGAAGTCCATAGTGGAGGCCCGAATTCGTCAAATTGGTCACATCCATGGAACGGAGCCAATATTACTGTATATAAGTTGCAGTTTCTTGCATCTCAAAAAAAGATGTAGTTCCATGTGAATGTATTGTACGACATGTTTGCATACATGATATAGTACAACAAATTTCAACACGGTACCATAACTGGCACTGAACTAATAAGAAAGCTTTGGACAACTGCAGAGTTCCACAAGTTGAAAAGCAAAATACCAGATGACAGTATCGCAGCATATACAAATGAAACATCCTATAAATTTATGCTACGACAAAAATCTGGATTAACAATGGAAACTACTTTCCTGTTTAGATTTTATGCACCTGATGCATAGTTACTTGTTAATGTTACAAATGACCAACTCACATCCATGTTTTGAGACCCCTCCCCACCTACCAAAATGTACCAAGAATCGCAACAAACGCCATGCCAAACTGAACAGAAATCAGAACCAGGAAGTTACAAACGATGATCGAAGTTAATGATGGCATTGCTTGCTCGCACACCCACAGATTAACAAGGAAAATGGCAGCCAAACATCAACAGTTCAGCTCCAAAATTCGAGCACAGCAATTGAATAAACTGGCATCCCCCCTAAAGCAACAATCAGAACACAATGAGAAAAAGGTAGAGCACAGAAGTTTCCCCACTTCAGCTTTGAGACTGTTGAGGTTGTTGCCTTGTCAATATGCAGGAGGCCCTCACATCAACTTCCACATTCTTCCTGGCAAGCAAAAATGTTTGCACAACTGGACAACTGATAATATCAAATCAGACCTGCACAGTAAAACTGATAAGTAGTCTTTGGTGTTACTGAAACTGCTTAGAGCCTGCAATGACCTCCGCAGGCTAGCCAAAACTTTTACACTTCTTCAACTTCCCAACCAATTTCATCCATATCCAACCAATTAGGAGTGTGAGGCCTGTTAATGGGAAAGACAGTTCTGGAACAGTTCAGCAAAGGAAGTAGCTGTAAACATATCATGATTTGTTTTATTTTCTCATCAAATCATCATTCTATCATATCAACAGAGCCAAATTACCAGGTCACATACATGTTAAAAATAGATGAAAACTAAAAATAAACTTGTGGTACATCAGAACATACTCCGAATCACAATATAAGTAGGTTAGGACAGGACACTTTGACTTCATGAAAAATCTACTAATTTCAGTTTGATATGACGGTAATTCTTTCTATATTGATGGTCAAACCTAAAAAGTTTTGACTGGCACAAATTCTAGAACTACAACTAATATGAATGGCCAGAGTAATTGTTCGATTGGACGAAACTCACCAATCGTACTGGCTACTGTAGATTATACAAGCTTTAACTTGATAAACATCGAAGGCAGCAAAGACGCAGGAAGCAAAGATGCTCTGAAAAAACCATTACATCTGCACCGATGACCAGCTTATACGAGAGATAAAATGGAACCATGTGTTGGCTCAAGGGGGTGGAGGGTTATGAAATATGAGGACATGCCGCTGGCACCAGATTCAAAATTCTCTGCATGACGGGGGAAAATTGCAGTATACTTGACAGCAGTTTTTGCGTAAACCACTCAAACACAATTCAGTTTTTACTGCTGATCAACCCACACTGGCGATATTAAATTTCAGATACGGAACTTAAGAAATTGCCAAGATTTATCTCTTGGACAGTAGAGATGGACAACACTAAACATTTTGAATAATAAAAACAGATTATTTCCTTGATAGGTTGGGAATTGAAAACATGTTTTCTTTTAGGAACTGGAAAATGGAGATGTGTGTCACTATGAAAGGCAGGTCTAAGAGGGAATAATGCAATCACCTATTCTTGGAAGTAGTCTGGTAAAATAACGATTGAAGTGCAAATATTAAGATGGTCCAAATTTTCTAAACCCATGGAATCAAAATTCTGAGATCTTAACAATGCTCTGTGGTTTCCATAATTCACTAGCCATCTGTATCAAATCTGTAAGTTCATTCAGAAAGCACTAGTAGCACTCACATGATTCAAAATGGAGCTTCAAGTGACTCGTCCCACACATCACCACTTCCATTTGAAGCATCTTCACCATCCTCTTCCATCGACAGCCTGATGTATTCCCTATGGGCGAACCGATCCCACTCAGTTAGAGTTGGATTTTCACGCTCCTGCAATTAAAAACCATACAACCTTTTAACTAAATAAATGCAGTGGATTCAAACACTTCATTGCAAAACAGTGATTACCTGGCGAATGAGGAATGGATCACGAGTTTCAAACGCCATAAATTTGTTGAGATTAAATAAGATATTGAATATATTTCCCGAGAGTTTACACTTTTTCAAGTCCCTCAATGTAAAATATGTCTCATTCTGCACAAAGGAAAAGCTTTATGAAATGCAGTTAAGGGCATGACTGAATGCATGAATTTTGTAGAGAACAATGCAATTCCTCCTCATTGCCTTTGGATTCCACTGTTCCAAACAGGGGGTAAATGAATCACAGTTATATCCAGGATGATGATACCTCTGGTCCAATCATATCAATCATTTGGCATAGTATGTCCTCAAAAAGCACAGGTTCCTGTGCCATGCACTCCATACGATGCAACTGCTCCTCATAGAAAAACTGCATTTCATTGGTAGTTAAAATACCATTGCCATCAAGATCAATGCACTTAAACCTGTAGAGAGTGTGAGGCGTTTCAATAGATGAAGGAACATATTTTACCACAAACTGTATATAATATGAGTTGCAGATATGATATAACATATAGGTGTCCCATACACATAACTTCATGTTGGAAATTTGTAGCAAAATTGTGTAGAAAAATCACATACTAAAAAAACATTCCCATTAAAACCCAATTGTTGGGGCTTTGTTCACTCGTTTGCCGTCAATGCCTCGAGACCAAATAGCACAGCATGGGGACTAGACATTTAAGCATACATTCGAAGGATGGAATTGCTCTCAAGCAACCCTCAGATAATAAAACAGTTACAGGTAAAACAGAAGACATATCAAACCAGGAGAACACAATTACCAGTACTCAAGGCTAGGCTCAGATGATTTATCTTCCTCTGACAAGATGAAGTAAACAAAATCCTCATAACCCATCTTTCCTTCGGTCATGCTTGTGAATTTCCTTGGGACCTTAGTTGGAAAAAAAATGGAAGTGCACAGTAAGCAACATTAATGCAATCTAACATCTCAGCTCTCAATATAAACTAGTAATAGAACTAGTAATGGACTAACCTGTGAAAAGACTCTATCGACTATTCTATAGGTCAACGAATGATTTCCATATCTGATAAGGTTCTCTTTGTCAATCAAGAAATCATGATCTGTGTCCAGCTCCCAAAATTTGCAGTAGATTACATAAAAATGCTCGTATGAGAAATATCTGCATCAGATACGACAAAGTCAGAAAATTATACGAAAACCATGTAAAATATGCTTTATTTGCAGCATATAGTAGGATCAACTGAAGCCATGAAATTCCTGTTGGCCATCACAACCACATAAGGAAGGAGCTCTTGAAAGAACAGAATTCGTAAGGAGCTAAAGCATCGTGTAATGGAAACCATATTCTACTGAGAGATCTTGGGAAATATACATGCACACGCGGCATTTAAGGAATTTGTACAGTTCCATCCATGAATTACCTCAGTATTTTGTTGATATCCTCTTCCTCATCAAGTTGCTGCATTGCAGCTACTAAATTCCCACGTTTTAGCTCTCTAAGGGTAAGATGACCATTTCCAGATCTATTTATGGAGTAGAAGATTCTGTATATTACAGTCTCAGCTGAAAAACACATTAAAACATAATAAGCAGATGAATGAGATGCAGCAAATCACCAGCATTAGTTCGGAATATCCATTCATCACAAAATCAAAAAGTATGTTATTACTGGAGAAAAAAGATATGCTCTACAAACAACAGCTTGTCCTTGCATACAACATTCATGACTAAAAACTATCATTTTCCTATGTTACTGAACACGAGAAAATAACAGATTATTTTTAAGGAAGAAATATGAGTTCTTAAGATAGACAGAAAGACAGCCCATATTTTAGATGTTAATACGAAGAGTTCCGTACCAACAGGTCTACTGTAGAACAGACTAAAATACTTCAACATTTATAGCAGAGGATGATGAGCCACTTACGAGTTCTTAAGATAGACAGAAAGACCATATTTTAGATGTTGATACGGAGAGTTCCAAATGCCGACAGGTTTATTGTAGAACACACTAGAATTCCTATAATCATACCTTCAGATAGCAAACCATTCAGGTTTAACTTTCTAATACCAAAGTGCAGGGGTGTCAATCTACGATCGGTTCCAGGATTTCCTTACTACCATCTCAGGCTCAACTCAATTCTCGTCAGCTCTACGCAAACAGAACTATGAAGAAAACGATGCCTTATTTTATTTCAGTGTTAGACCCGCTAAAAAATTATATTCCATCTCTTTGGCATATGCGGCTAAAAAGGGTATCTGTCTCAAAAGATGCGGAGGACATAACTACATTAAAAAAACATAACAAGAATTCACAAATGAAATCACTTTGCCAGGGATCATTTCTTTTTCATCATATAAGATACTATCATCATTGGCTTTTGAAAGAACATATGACTCAAAATGCACGTCTAATGCACAAATATACAAAGAATACTGGTGATAGAGCCAACTACTAGGCAACTTGAACAACACATAACAGCGATTACCGTATCTGTCCTGAAACTCGGGAGTGCCTTGTAAAAACTCTAAACCTGGGTGAGTTGCCAGGAGTTCTTTTAGAACAGGCTTAAAATCCTCCTGCGCAAATTATGGAGAATTAGTATTCCCTTCAAGAAAACAAACAGTAATATAGAATAATCATCTTGTCCAGTTGGAGTCATATATACATGCCTACCAAGACCAAAAAGAGGAAAGAAATGCTGACCTGAGTGAGATAACTGTAACCTGGCTTTCTTAGTATTTCAAATATCTGGGTAGCCGTGTCCATTGTGATCTTATTGTCATTAAACCAGTAATCGATAAACGCATCCCTGAGTTTAAAAAAGAGAGTAACATGTCAAAACCGAAATATAAAATATCGGTGTTAAGAACTGGAATTGACATCAAAACTGTGCAGCCAAAAAGTAACTACCAACTGAGACATGGCATTCCTGAACAATTGTTAAATATACATGAGACCATGGAACACCACAGATGTGTTAGATTAAATGTTACTAATCATAAGGCAATGTAATAAATGAAACCTGACATCCTAGTCCAGAAAAGATAAGCTTCTGTAAGTTCAAATTTACAAACACAAGCAAGAAAACTATCCAGAAGCATGCACACTGGTTGAAGAAGAAAACAGTGCCAAACTATTATTATAGCAAGGATAACGCATTGGTGGATAACCGTATATGAAGCAGGGTTACAAAACCAAGATGAGCAGTTTCTGCTTACTTCTGGTCTGCCTAATTATAATGGGCAGGGTACTGTGCTTGTTCAACCTTGCACAGACAGTAGTGTGTATTATTATCTCTTTAAAAAAGCAGGAATAATAACTGGAGGGATTTACCCTCCCACCACCCAGGAAAAGTGGAAACCACCAGGAACACACAGATTTCCAACACTGGCTGTGCAATCAAATGCTAATTTTTCTATGGAGACAGGTTAATGTTCCATAATGAACTCTGTGTTCTACTAAATTTTGGCTACAGTTAGGAGGTCCATGTGGTAGCTGCATGAAGCATTTCTCAGTGCCCTCCAAATATGATGGAACAACTAAGATTCACTATATCTAAATATACACCAACACTAGTGTAGCCATGTTGAGGTATTGAATAAACAGCACACCTTGTTACAGTTCCAGAGCAAGTGGCGTCAATCTTCTTGAAAAGAACACCAGAGAGGTACGATGGCAACTTGCATATGTCTTTTATAACTGGTCTGAATTCTGATATGTGCAAATAAGACATTGAAAGTTAAAAATGCATTTCAATGTGGACAAAACAAAAGAAATCCTCAAATAAGGTCACCTTGAATCTGGAGTCCTTCCCCGGCAAAAAAAAGGTGATCTAGTCTAGACAAACACTGCTCCCTCAAATCTTTTGGTGGAGGGCGCCCATGTTTGAAGTAAAACTGCAAACACGATGAATACAGAACTAAGTCTAACAAGGAAGATGCTTAAATAGCTATAGTAGGAACAAATATTACATGAATAATAACAAGCACAGATGCCATTCTCAAACAAAAAAACAGATGGGAAGCACCTGGGGTATAACTTCTCTCACAGGTTCACTGACTAATTTTAGAGGAGATCCCAAGGATGATGGTCCAGCACTAGATCCTCGTCTCATAACACGGGGAGAGCCAGCAGTGCTCCTGGGAGAAAGTGGGGGGGCACTACCAGCAGGGAACATCGACGGCAAAGAACTACTTGAAGCGGCATTTGTGCTAGCAGAGCTCCCAGCAACATTCAGTGTGGCACCGGCTTTTGCATCTTCAATCAAAGATTTCACCTAGTAGTGAAGAAACCAAATATTATAAGAAATGATACATCCAACAGAAGTATGTTATAGAAACAAATTTATTGCTTTTTTACGCAACAATGTACAATGCTTCTAATTTACAAAAACAGTAGCATCCCACTCCACAGAATCAATTATAGAAAGGCTTATATGACGAAGAAAGCAAAGTGCATAAAACATCAAGTTGTTACTTCAACGGATATTATCAAAAACAGAAGAGCAGTCAAACAGCACTATTAAAGTGCTTTATAATGATACATATATACAGAACCTGAGCAGTAAGCATAGATAAATAATGTTCACCAAATTACAATGTGTTAATAAATTTAACTAACAATGATTTGTATCTGTATGCATCACATAGAAGGTAAACTAAGTGGTAATTGAGTTAGAATTATAGGTGTGCCACCTTAAGAAATTTGAAATGTAATATAACAGAGTAACCAAAGCCAAGAAAAGAGCACACAATCAAATTAAAAGTTCTAGTGCCTCGGAAGCCTATTGTCACAATTCCAAGTACAGGTTGCACCACCTATCATTTTGAGAGTTCAGCCACTATCCTATATTGATTGGACTAGCCTCTGTTTAAAAAATTTAGAAAAATCTCGGACTAATCTGTTCAATATAATCTACTTAATATTAAAGTTGCTGATACAAGCACGCAACTTCTTTTTTTGAAATTTAGCAGGAGTGCTGCTAGTATTCCATTAAGAAGAAGGTGCCGATGGCAAGTACAAAATGGCCTAAGGACCCAAGAAACAACAAACTCAAGAGAAAAACAGTGTAGCTGCAAGATACACGGCTACAAGAAACTAGCGGACTGCAACTTTATTTAAGGCCCCACTAATGAAGTATAGAACAAACCTCAACATATGTTACATATTCCTAGAAGATTGAGTTATTTCAAGCATACACTCCCTCTGTAAAGAAATATAGAGCATTTAGATCACTACTTTAGTGATCTAAACGCTCTTATATTTCTTTATGGAGGGAGTACCATATATGCAGAGAGGTTAAACCTTGAAACATCTGCTATGTTACTATATATATTGAGCAATGCCAGAAATACAAGATGTAAGAAGCCAGCCTATATAGTAGATCTATATTGTCCTGACTCCGGTCAAATAATCACACGTGAAAAATCAAACATATCCCAATACATATATAGCACTACATAGTTATAACGGCGGCCTAGGGAGCAAAGAATCCAGTCAAATAATCACACATGGAAAATTAAACATATTCCAATACATGTATAGCACTACACGGTTATCACGACAGCTTAGGGAGCAAGGAACCCCGCGTCGGTGACACTAGACAATATCTTAGCTTAGCCTAATCATCGCATATAGAACATACTCCCTCCGTCCCAAAATTCTTGTCTTAGATTTATCTACATACGGATGTATCTAGTCATGGTTTAGTGTTAGATACATCCGTATCTAGACAAATCTAAGACAAGAATTTTGGGACGGAGGGAGTATATAACAAGGCAAAAATGGAGAATACATGTCCCACTAGCCACTTGGTCCAAAACATCACCTGAAGACAACAGAACATCAAAGCATCCACTCCCTACTCCCATGCTCAATTACCAACAGGCAGACACCTTCTCTAGCAGAAGCATTGGGCACCAAAGCAGCAAGGCAGAGGGCATCCAGCTAACAAGTGAGATGCACAACAAGCAGCAGAGAAAATCAGCAAGATGGAGCTAAGAAAGCCCAATGTGATAGGTGTGTTCGCAAAGCGATAGCGCTGAGCAGGGAGGTGACGATGCACGGTGGTTGCGAACTACAAAAGGCCGACAGCGAGGGTTAGTGGAGTCCCTCTGTCTCCTGGACTGCTGTCAGTCGAGGCAAGCAGTCATGTCATCTGCTGATCTATTTGATAACATCATGTCTCCCGCAGAAAAGGTAACATGCCATTGACTACTACGCTATGTCCACCCCATAAAACTACATAACATTCAAGACAACGTTCAACATAACAAAGCAGACAAAACAACGAAATGTTAGCATCATTTGGGAGAGCAAGAAACACTAGTGGTAAAGCCTTGAGACCGTGATAACACTACAGGTAACACCATATACGATATTGTCAACATGACTTCTTTTTTCTCTAAGGTTCCATGTGTTTACTACGCAATATTGCATAGACAAGTTTGGCCTGCAAAGTAGGTATCCCGTCAACAAAAGCTATATAGTCTATGTTGCATTTATCTACTGTTCTGCACAGGTATGCATCAAATTAGCAGCCAAAAAGAGCTCAACAAAATATGCACACGGAGCAACAATTCAACATTCTCACATGAAGCCATTGACTATCACCTATCACGAGAGCAATACTCAAACAGATTGCAACCAGGAAATAGCAACTTCAAATTCCATGGGTGCACGTTTTACTATCAAGAACACTGATGCATACCTGTATCATTGCATATAAATCTCAAAAGTCCAAGTAAATGACAGAACAGCCCCTCCATCAAAAATTTACATAGTAATTGCTTGGCAAAAGGAATACCATCATCCAAACAAAACAATCTAAAGTAACCCAAAGAGACAAGAGCAGACAATTCAAGCCAGATCTCTAGCACAGTGTACCACTGCGAAAATGTCCTCTGAAGAGTGAACTATCATTTTAAGTAAGCATGGGCTCAAAATATAACACAAATTGCTGTAGCATAAAGCAGATCTTTGATAGCACTAGATCTCGGTACAGCGTCGGAGTCCACATCTCCTGAAATCCATCATTCCTCTAATCACATGCAACATTGACTATCATACCAACATTTCTTTATCTTTAATATAATGATAAAGCTGATGCATGCGGTGAGGGCTCATCTCAAAAACCGCAAGTAAGCACATCAGTTCAAGAAACCAACTTAGTACAGATGGTACATATTCATTCACGGCAACTGAGGAGCAGAAAGTAAGCACCCGAAGAAACAGGCCAAGTACATATTTCCGCAAAAATTACTACAATCACAATCTCCCGCAGGACCTTAGCCTTTGATGTACCAGACCCCGACGCTTTGTATCCTCGGCTTAAGCTAGCAATCCTGATACGAACATACCAATCTAAACTCGTAGAGAGGCACTGCAGCACAAGGCGCCACCAAGGCAGAGCATTCTAACAACATTTTTCCAAGAGTTCCAACAGGAGATCACGCTAGCCACGCAAAATCAACGGACGAACCGCGCCAGCACGCGAGGGCAAGAGGACGGGTGAGAGGTTACCAGCTTGGACGACTCAGGCAGCACGAGCCACTGCAAGTAGAGTGCCTCGGCTATGCTTGAGTTCTCCCGGAGCGCGCCCGGCGCGAGTTCTGGCAGCTGCAGCAGCTCCGGGTCAAGCGCCGACGCATCCCTCCTCGCCGCTTCCACCTCCATGCCGTCAAGACCCTGGTGCCCTTCTCATGCACCAAGCAAGGCCCCAAACCCTAGATCTGTCCCCCGCGAGCGCGTCCAGAAGCTGGAGGACGCGGTGGTGTGGCGTGAGGTGAGTGGCGAATCGGAACTCGGCGGGGTCGGCGGCGGACGACTAAGGAGGATCGGG